GATGAGTGTTAAAAAAACAATTCGCTACTATTCTTCGCCGCAGGTGGCTATCCACTTTTGACAGTCGATGTTAGTTACAAACGGAAAGCGTGGTTTCAACGACCTTTTACCGTTTAGATCAGGCACATTTGACCAAAAATAGTGTACAGTGGAAAACCGGATGACCGACAAGAGTTCATTTGCTGATGAAGTTTAAATTGACTGAGGTAGAACGGTGACTAGATATATTCATTTTAAGTTTTAATTGAATATGATAAGATCATAAACGTTGCAAATAAATAATTTGTAGTGTTGAATGATTAAACAGGAAAACTTACCTGAGAATGCCACCATGTCTGTCAGTAAGCAGTTCTGAACGTCTTGTATTAATCGGTTATTGGTCGCTTTGCGGAATATCGGCACCCAGGATGGAGTTATTCCTTGTTGGCTTGTTCAATGAGTTTGTCACCCAAGAAGCTTTCTCAAATGGTTGGTTTGTAAGCAACATGCAAAAGTCGAAAAACCCGCCAACGGAAAGTTTTGTGCTTTTCAATTAGGGAAGTCAGTTGTTTGTTGCTCAATCTCCATCTGTTCTAATTAGTACAGACTCAAGGTTGTCCAAAAGTGTTTCGAACCACTAAAAATGTCTCTTATTTGAGATAGTATGCGTTTTTCAGAAACGTTGACATAAGGATTCACCCAAAAGATGAGCACAAAACGTCTAGTGCAAACGAAAGCGCCCCCAGGTTTTTCTGCAACTTCGTGAAACCATTTAATCTTTTCCGTACAACCGCTACATTGCTCTGACCACTGGAGGTTGTAACAAATTATTCCCTCGCCTAATAAACAGGAACTAACGAATTGCTTTTATTTGTTGTTCATAACTATGTGGTTTTTACACGGAACTTGTCGGAATTAACCTTTTATACCGTACAAAATTACTCTTAATATTAACACCTCATCAAACAATGAAACATTCATGCAGCAAAACCTGCACCTCGTGCATATCACCGTACAGGCTAAGTTTGATTGCATTCGTCAAATTTTTCCACTGAGCTGTACCGATTTGCATGCATCAGTAAACAGGGACTTCTTTTTGCCGCTTTATTCGACGAACTCTTGAGGGTCAACTGTGTACGACCCCCGACAGACATTATCAATAGAAATGAACTGCAAGCATGGATCATTTCGCTTTCTGATAAAGAACTGTAAATTAGTACCATTCTGATCTGAAAACCTCTGCTGTTTCATTATACAAATATATCTTCACTTGTAAGAGGTCGTAGAGACCGATCGCCTACATGTCGATTGTAAATCGGTACCATTCATCAGTACCATTCTGACCTGAAAACCTCTGCTATTCAATTATACAAATGTATCTTCACTTATAAGAGGTCGTAGAGACCGATCGCCTACTTGTCGATAGATGTTGTCCTCGGAAAAAATCAATATAAGAATAATCAAGATTTATCAAATATATTTATAACTGTATCCACAGCAATATAAGTTTCGAAAATAGTAGGGTTTCTACTTTGAAGTCTTTCAAAATAAGTTCCTTTTTGATGCATAAGGGTTTGCCCCCTGTCTTTTGAAGTAAGTTCCTTTTTGATGCTTAAGGGTTTGCCCTCTACAAAGCGATCGACTTCTCATTGCTTTATGAAAAAACCTCTCGACAGTATTTGACGTAGACTCGTGTGAAAATGCATACGGCAGAAAATATCAACAGTCAGATAATCGGTTCGTGAATCATTTAGGATAAACGAGATGTTAAAATATCAAGACCCGAAAATCGATACTGTCTGCTGAACTCTGATTGCGTTTGTTTTCGGGTACCGTCGGCTCTGTTTGCGAATGAAGATCACATATTGTTTTGTAAGCATCTCAGTTGCTTGAAATTTCACGGTTTGTCAACCGCAGAAAATTTAAATAGCCACCCAAACCTAATTAGCATAGACACTTTGGCGAACAATTTCAAATCTTTTGGGATAACGAGTGATTTTCGTGCGGAAAAATATTCAACATTCAGACAGATAACTCAGAGTCTCACTGAGGTGGATAATTTTGATAAAACACACAAAATCCACCAATGTAGATTTTGTCAAAGATTGCATGCCACGTTGTCGGTTTGTTTTTAAAAATCCAGAATATTTGTTGGCTAATCAAAGTGCAAACTTTTCGGAAATGACCAAACGCAAATTTGACAAAGGATGCTAGCTAGGCTGGTTGACAAAACAGGCGTGTCTGCGCAGAAACATTTTGTATGAGTTGTGGCCCTTAGTAAAAAAAAAAAACCGTGAAGTACTTCTAATCACATAGTTTTATCTTACATTGTTATCTATACCATATCTATCAAGATATATTCCAAATTCGATGTTGTGGTGTCGAATTCAGAGGTATCCAAGTTACATCAGCATGTTGGCCGATCGCTTTCTTCATTTTGTCTCCTTTTTCTAGAATTCATTTAACCCAATAATGCTAATACTTACCTAACTTAGATTTTTGTCACTCCAGTTGACATGACAATGCCTTATCAGATCAATATAAACCCAATTCTTTAGCAGAACGTCTTTTTTGAGAAATTGTAAGAAGCAAGCTACCATTAAAAACCGAAGCTAGGCACCAAAAGATAAGTTCGTCACTTTCGAATGACTTGAACCTCCTGGGTTCCATGCATGTTGGCTAGCTGTCACCCAGCATAACTGTCACAGGTAACTTGACCACTGTGTAGAGGGAATATATTTTTAGGAAAGCATGTTTTTCTTTCACGTTTACAAAACGCGACGTCATATTTGATTAGTTTCCAGTGTAAATCTTGGTGGTATAAATCTTGGTGTTAGAGACGCGTTCTTTCTTTTGTGTCGTGTAAACACCAGTTTCCACCAATATTATTTTATCTGTGATAGTGGTAATTTATTGAGACCGTTTTGGACCAGAGCTGAGGTTAAACAAGTCTAATCTCTGAATGCGCCATGCAAACGTGTTAGCAAACGATTTTTGGATGTCAGCTTGCTATGGACACAGAAGCGTAAACTTTAGAAAAGTTACCGGACTGACACTTGTTTAAAGAACTTGACCGTTACCACCAGGAAGGTTATTCTAAAAGGTTAAAGACAAAGAGCACTTTTTTGTTTTCGTCTTAGTTACTTAAGATATATATATATATATATAGCTAGATAGATAGATAGATAGGTGCTTAAGATATAGATAGTATTTGGTCTTAAACATGCGCTCACTATGGTTACCTATTGGTGATTTTCATCTATCGTGGAAACAAAAGACTTCTTGATAAAGGATGCCATTAGTTTATTTCAACAGCTTTCTTATAGATGCTCACAAGTTACCAGAAAATAAAACTACTAAGTCTCGCAGCATTCGGTTGAATGAAGCTTAATACTTAACTGTTTTCTACACAAATTGTCACTAAGGAACAGAGAGCCTCACATTGAAGATGCCCATATTGTTGGACTCATCCAGAAATCTACAGCCCGAATCCATCTATCCATCTTTTTGAGTTAGGCATACCACAAGAATATTAAGTCACCACAGCTATAACCTCGGATGTTCAGCCAGACGTTTTATACTGGTGAAAGCAAGAAGGCCTTTGCTGCGGAGTTATTTATTAGGAAATGCCAACTGAACGGTTACAGACCATTGAACAAGGAAGCAAAACTCTAATTTGCATCTTATTGCAAAAACTGGACACCCATCTTCTCCCGAATGCGTGTTCATTGACTCCACTCATTCGTCGGTCAAATCCAAGCACATGTTACAAATTGGCTCCACGAATTCCGCAACAGATATCCCCTTTTCAAAAAACGCAAAGCAAAATTCTACAGACGACACATACTACTCGCGTGCCTCCCCATCAGTAGTACCACCGTTACACTGGTATGAAATATGCTTCATCTAATGAGAAAGGGAACATACATTGTACTCACAAGTTTGACCGTTGGGGAATATGTGTACCTACAGCAAATTGAATTGACTTTGCTGGTGGATGGCAACCTAAAAGACCTGCCTTTCATGTCATACCACTTGGTTTTGTTCACATAAACGCACCATCAAACAAGCTAAAGGTAGAGCTGAGATCTGCTAGCACGTTTCCCGTTCAAGCCTACTTAGACTCACAAATTTTTAAGACAGAAGTGACCATTCTTCCTTTCTGGAATGCTTTTAATCTTAATCAATGACAAAACGTTTGGCACATCCATACGTTATACCGCACTGGCGTGAGAAATCATCCTCTCGTTATTGAGTCTGGAGAACACTCTGTGTGCGTAACGGATCTGCTTGCGGTTTTTATGTTCCGTATGCCCAAGGACCCACTGAACGCTTCATCTATACACATATATTATCATAAGTCTCATTTGATCCAAAGAGAATGGGGATTCATTAATCACTTACATCTTTTTTGACTAATCCACCAATATACGAACTCAAATGACAGTTTGACAGAACCTTTGATGTTGCATGGTGTGGTCACACGTTAGCCCATCGGGGTGAAGCGACCGACGATTCACCAAGATGCTGCTGTCTGAAGTAGCAAACGGATAAGTTTAATTTTTTAACCGTAATATAAACACGGTTTGATACTAGGCAAGTGCGTTGTCTATTGCACTTATTTCACAAGGTTGTAGCTTATTTCACTAGGTTGTACCTGGTGAGTCCTTTGGCTTCTCATTGAAGTTTGCCAGACAGACAAAGTTTAGCGGTTTTCATGTTATTAAAAACATATATAGTCGTGATACACGTATATATATATGGTGGGGATGAAAAGTTTGCAATCAAGTAGCCCAGATCAGCTAACAAGTCAACGACCAACACATAGTCCTGTGATATATCTTTTCTCCCGGTTTAGTGATACCTTACCAATACCTCTTTAGCTCAGCCAAAAATGTTCATTTACCGTCACAGAAGCTTGGATGGTTTTCACCAAATTAGCATTTATTTTTGGGTGTGACCATTTCCATAATTTTTTTACTCCGTGACCATTCGATTCGTTTTACGCTTCTTTTTTGAAGGTGAAAAGACGGCGAGCCAAGTCGTCCAAATTCCGAAAACTTCTCACGATCTGGATTTTCGATAATATCTTACAAAGGCCACGCGCAAAGTCTTCAGGTAATTATGAATTAAATTTAGATGATAATTTTCTTTGAAAGTCTTTGTTTATTTGTCCACTGTACAGGTAAGTCAACCGGGCTGTTAAATAAGACTGGTGACTAGTGCTCACTTGAAAAAAATTGGTTGATAATTCTTTTGCGCCATTTTTGACCGTCTATTTTCTTGAGGGAGCATGGATTTGAATGAAAACATATCAGTATTCCTTAACTGGTGTTTTCTTCTTAGATGAACTAACGGTCTCAAAGAGCTATTTAAACAGGATGGTTCATATTTTCTTGGCCTAAAGGTCGAGATGGTTCGAGTGGTTAGAGCTCGAGTTTACTGACCGATAGGTCCGTGGTTCAAACCCAACCTTGGTCTCTCGACTTCCTATGTCTAGGTTTGGTCAACCTGGAAGTATCCCAACCCTCATGTTGACCTAAGATGTTGATATCCATCTCGTTGTGGAAAAGATAGAACGGGCTGTAAGCATCTGTGTTAAATAAGAATACCGCTTACAAATTTATGAAGTTCCGTGCATCCTGAGCAAATTTACCTGTCTATCTTGATTGATAATGCGAAACGACGGCCGTTCTTCTCACTTCAAAATGTCATTTTTAACGACCAATATAAAGTGGGATTATAGGGCCTAAACGATCACATCTTGTGACGACTGTATGAAGTCTGCATATTTATTTGCTTCATCATTCTTTTATAGCCATGCCTTGGGGCGGACGATTAGACAGTTTTAAAGTATAATGTGTTATGTCCTCTTCCCACTCAAAATATTGCGAGTAACCTATTGCAAGCAAATTTTTCAGTGGGACCTTGCTTGATGATCAATTAACGGACAAACGGAACACTAAAATAATGGAAAAATCAGCGTGGATTAAAAATACTTGCGGTTATAAATGCATGGTTAGTTTATTGATGACCTCCAATAATTTTGCCCAGTCTTTTCAATGAAGAAGATGCGGCAATACGACAAATCCTCAGGGAATTAATGGTTAACCTCGAAGAATCCATATTGGACAAGTATCTGGTTTGATTCCGCCAATATAGCGTCAAGTTTATTTCGACCAATCATTTGAGAGAGTACTTCCTACCGGCGCCAAAGTCACAGGCGTTTTGCGAGGAGGCTACACTCCTCACGTGATACTACACGTGAGCCGCTGGTGACACTGTATCGGCGGGCAAACGCGCAGAGACCGCTCGACGGTCATCAGTCCAGACAGGGACGACGGTACAAGCACCAGTTCTTGTACTCCAAAAACCTGGCTACATGTATAAATCTTTCCAAGTCTCAGTGGGACATCTGAATTCTTCCAGATAAATTACCACAACACGTCTAACATGGCGCCACACAACTGCGATTGGATAGTCGGGTAGCAAAGCATTACACGGATTAACACAGACGAAGGGAAAAATGCCCTCGAATGCGGACCTTATCCGCATCGACAAAGATAATCCATCAGACAAGAAGGTGGATGAGACAGCCCACGACCGGTTTTGCCCTTCTTGGGGCTCATCAGGTAGGCGCAGTCCCCGGGTTTCCGTCAACCTTATGTTCTACTTGAAACCAAATTGCACGAAATTAGCGAATACACACTCATCTGCAAACTAATTTGGTTCTTTCGAGAGACTTACCTGGAACCCAGCTGAATCTCTTGTTTATGATGTTCTAGGGCAACTGAATGTGCTGCACCAGGCCACCTCATGTTACAGTCGCTACGATATTTGAAATATCGCGATACATGTATATATTTGTAATGTACTACTCATAAGGTTGCTGAAAATCCATCGACAGCCCACGGCCGGTTTCGCCCTTCTTGGGGCTCATCAGATAGGCGCAGTCCCCGGGTTTCACAGAGTTTTTGAGAACATCCTCAAACGCCCTCCTGATCTTTCGCGGAAACTGTTTGAATATTTGGGGGTAACGAACAAACCCCGTAGAACTTTCCAGTTATTTTGTAAATCAGAATTACTTGGCCGGATCATTCTCTGACGTTTCACCTTACTTCTTGCTGTGTTATGAAAGACGATACGGAGGTAAAGTTAAGTGACTATCGATTAAAAACCGAAACAGACTTACATCTACCCGATTAAGGCTAGTAGTCACTTCTTGACAAATGTGAGTATGTATTCTATTAAGGGGAGCGTTCCATTTTTTCCAGGACTATGCACTCGCAAGCTGAGTAAATCCAACGTGCTGTGGTGTGGCAACATACGATGCGTCAGCGGCCACGACCGACGACCGATTGTTCAGAAAGGATGCTTTTTACGACCGACATTTTTTAAACGTCTTTCTCAGGGGGGGATTAGCACTGCAGCTTATATGTATATGTAGTTCCTGGTTAACTTGGGGAAACGCCCACCTGTCTTCATACTCCGACCATAACGAACTTTATGGCTTTAGTCGCAGACCCTCCCGCACCCATATCATGGAAATCACTAACGTTTGTCTGGCTGTACTTTGTCAACCTTTTTGGTATGGTAGGAACCTGAGGAATGACGTTCCCGCCAAAATGGCTTAGAGGATCATCTAATACTTCTGTAATGTGAGAATAAAGTAAAGTAAGGTGAGAGTAAAGGAAGCAGATGCGTAAGCCTATAGTTTACATTTTTAAGAACACCAATTTCATGGTTTGTTTAAAAAACCCTAAGGAATTTAAAGCAGGTAAGAAGGAAATAGGGGGGTTTTCTAGTCAAAAGGCATTTCTGCACGGGTTACAGTTGAGGGGAGAGAAATCCTCTCTCAGTACGTAGTCTACGCGCAGATTTTTGAATGCGGATAAGACATTGCTACATCCTGCGTGCTTCTGCACGAATCGTGTTACTGTGCGAAGAAAACTTGAGGCTGAATTAACAAGGAAGTAACCTATTAGGTTCTCAAATCAAAGTAAGTCATGCCATATAATGAGAATTCATATGCGTCCGCATTACCTGAACTGTTCTCAATACAATTAGGTGAATTTTTGTTGCATGGCAGAACATCCAAGAGTTGAATATCGTCACCTAGATACTCAGTCTTTAGCAGTGATTGATGATTGAAAAGCATACATTCAAAGCAGCTAGAATTCATCGCATTCAAAAAGAAATTTACCAGTAAAAGGGCAAAACTCTCTGACCGATTTTTTTAGATAACAGGTCATCAGGAAAACACCCAACGGTGCTCTCCTTTGTGAAGTAGGATCTGCTACTGGGCTGTTCTTCAAGAGGTTGGCACAAATTACTCCCCTCTGAAGGTCTATTGCTTCAAGTGTAAATGTCATAAACTATCTCCCAGAAGATAATTTTTGGCGGCCACTTGAACCAGTCTCTCCAGACGAGTGTCTGACTTTTCAGTGGGTTCTGACTCAAAGAAGTAATAATTGCATCGATTGGTCTTCTTCCATCGAAAACTCAACAAAAGTTCCAAATTCAATAGAACGTCAGTGTGAAAAACATATGTTTGCACGAACTGAACGAGACAAGCACAAAATTCGCCTCAGGAGGCCTTCAAAATACGTCCAATATGTAATGCAGTTTCATCGGAAATGGATATCAGAACTGGTACTCTGCAGAAAAAAAGCACGTTTTGAAGAGCCAGTTAACTAAGAAGAATACTTGGCTTTAATGGGACTAATCAGAAGCTTCTTGGAGCCAAACTATACGAACCCAGCTCACCAGAGATTTGTAAAGCACTCATTTTTCGCGGTGGAGAGGCGAGCTCGAGGACGTATGGCATGTAAGAGGTAGTTTTGGTCTTTCAAAAAGTGTAAAATGCTGTCCGAATCCCATAGGACCTAGACGAGGTGTCCTTAGATTGAAGATGGAGATCACTGAAGGTGAGCTAAAAATGTAGCACTTAAAAGAGTAACGGTAAGATACTCCACCTTATCAGTTTAACAAAAGGGAACACGATAACCCTTTGAGATTACCATAAACTAAATGAGGATACTATTTATGGAAGTTCGTAAACATGAAATGAAGTCATCTGCAAATTGCCTTGAGGTTGAAATGAGGTTCGCCTAACCTTCGATTCCGTCACATTCTCCGAAATTGGGTTGTTTCTCAAGCGCAGTCTGTGCTTCAGCTGGTGTGGCACTTGAAACAAAGCTGTGTATTTTCTTGAAATCAACTTTTCGAGGAGTACTAAGGGGTAAGAAAATATTATATTTTTCCCTAATTTGTTGATAAACAAATGGAACTTCCTAGCCAGATGATAAACATAGAACGATTTCTGCAAGTGGCATTAACACACCTTGGCAGACTAGTAATTTACTGCTAAATTCGAAGGTTTTTCCAGAAAACTAAAATTTTAACCTTTGTAAATGCGTGATATTGCCATGATTCTAAATCGTTATCATCTTAAGTAAACGTTTCTCTATCTTTCCTGATTTTACGCTCCTAATGCATTAAATAACCCGTATTTCTACTCTGTTTCCCAGTAATTCGGTATGGTTAGTGATTTGCAGTCTTTTGCCGTTTCTCCGTAGTTAATTCTCTAGCCGCCCAGTCACTTGGTGCCACTTACCCAGTGACCGTATGATTTATAATTCTAATTCATCTGGAAATGACCTAAATGATCATATTTGACCATTTGGGTGTGGGATTACAGTGGTAGCCAATTTACTTCAACTCAACTTTAAATCAGGACAGCTCGCTCCCTGTATAGTGTAAGCTCTTATTTGAAGGAAAACTGAGCTGGGTTGATTTGCATTCATATTGGAAGAATTTCTTCCGTAAACGAACAGTGAAAACCGACACACAATTACATGCAATATCTCGCCCACCAAAGAAGAAAGCATGACTCGGCCACGATCACACTCCACTTCCTCTGCCATTGGTAGATCTAAGTCGGATTTATCCGCTCGAGGTTGCAGCTTAACTCTGGGCGTCACTAATGACAAGATCAATATTTAATGCGCTAAAGGAGAGAGTGAGTTTCATTTTGAGACTGTTGGTACTCTGATGACATCTGTGGCTTGTTACCATCAAAGCGGATACAACGTCGATCCGTCGGCACTTTGCCAACCATGTAAGTTGTATGGTCTCAAAAGGTGGTGGGAAAATTTACACCTTTCCTCTCCCCCTTCCTTCCAAACTATGGCAACATATTCTCACTTGGAGCCTATTAGACTTCAAGTTCGTCGGCACTAACTTTTAGTTCAGAAATCAACTGGCAGCGCTCTATCAAGCTCTTGATCATCGTTACCTTTTAGTTACATTTTGAGCCGGCCAAAACATCGGGTGGTCAGATCTTACAAAAAAGTATTTGCGTCCAGTTATCAAATCAGCTTCCGGAGGAGTTAATGAATTCCGCCCTTAAAATATCGTCTTTATCATGTCATCCGCCACTGTTTAAACGGGCAAATATGAAGATGGTATCACATTATTAAAACTTGTCTCTCCAGAACGTATTTTCCGGGGATACGTTCAACTCTGTGATTAGTTAATTTTACAGGCTAATAACTTAGGTGACTTCACTCTGTCAGTATGCGATAATACGCGGGATCAGTAGTCAACATAAGCCAATACGATGAGTTGCGCACCAAATTCTTCATTATTCCTTCTACCAACGGCCTTCTTCAATTCTGTCTCTCCAGCTGAGTTTCAACAAGCAGGTCCTCCCCTAAAATGTTTTAAGATTTTGTATGAAAATCACCTTTATTGTTCAAGGGGTATTTTGCGCGTTTCAGACGGCAAAAAAGTGCGCAATGAATATCTAATTCAAACAGATGAGGTTTTCCAGCCCAAAGGTGTGACGAATGACGCATAAAGCGTATTCTTGGTAAACTTTCAGCTCTACGCCTATTCCCTTTGGAATTTGGGGCACTGTGGTCGGCTACAGTGCTTTTGATAACGTGTCATCAGACAGATACATTTTTAAGTAGGTTCCGCACGGGTGAATACGCTAGAACGTGTTATTTTACTGTTCAGAAAAGAGAGGGATTGGCAATCCCTTAAGGCTTTGAGTTACTTACAGAGATACTATGTGGCAAGGTTATGTTTGCATGGTTGCCGCCTTTGTTATTTTGACCAGTGGATTTCAAGGGACTCTACAATAACCGGTAAATCAGGCTGCACCGTTTATCATTTTTTCCCAAAGAAGCACAGCCTAAAAGAGCTTATTTTAGTCGCGCCTCCTTTCTCAATTCAAACTTTAATGACGAGCGCCAATCCATGACTCTCCACCGTTAATTATCCCTTCCGATTGAAGTTGTTCTACAGGAGACCTGGGTTGTAAAAANAATCAAGGGTCTTCCTTCGTAATCGTTGAACTTACACTGCTCTAAGCTGAGAACAAAAGACAAAAACATCTGGTCCAAGAAACCAGAAAATGCCTTAGTGATTCAACTGGCCAGATCAAAAAGGGGTGATTTACCGACTGCCACACTGCTGTTCGAAGTTGAAGATAAATTAGAAAGAGCAGACATAACAGCAACTATCTCCTATCTGCCGTCACTCTACTTTGTAGGAAAAGGTAGCTGAATGGATTGGTTTACCGTTGATCAACCAGTAACCTGTGCCTGAGGTTCAGAGACTCCGTGCAATACCACTACTTTTCAGTCGTAGTCAACAGCACATCATATATTAGCCTACACAACTGTGCAACCCGTTCATGAATATCTCCGTACGACGTGGGTTTATCAAACGCTCCCAATATTAGTTCACCTTTCTCTGCCAGAAGCTGGAACCCGTTGATCGTATATCGCCTTCAAGCAAGAAAATTCAACACTTTACCATTTTGGTTACCCAATTCATTTTTTATCTTTGCAACGAAACAGCTTAAGACGGTCCCGAGGTGTAGATGATAAACCATTCATTACATTTGACAAGCCCCGTTGACAAGCTGTTCACCAGGGGATTCAAGGAATTCCCACCAATTTGTCTGCCTGATACGGACTAGCGATTATTCTGGTCGTGAAAACAGTATGATTAATCAGATCGTCCGGGCAGGTCATGACGGCAAAATCGAGAGGCGAACTGTGCAGGCATTTTGCTGACCTTATAAGGACATCTCAGATACAAGTACCCCATCCGTATTGCGTAGAACTACGCTCTACTCAGATATTTTGCTGCCTTATAAGGACATCTAAGATACAAGTACCCCATCCGTATTGCGTAGAACTACGCTCTACTCAGAGTTTTAAGTTTATCGTCGCCTACGAATTGCTTTCATAACTTTCTGTAAAAAACGTGCTTCATTTTTCATATTCAAGGAAAATGGAATCATTTCTAACGGTTTCTTGGTAGCACCCCCATTATCCATTTAGTTTTTTTAAACAGAACTTAAAATTATGAACTAGATAGGCTGTCTGTGAAAGTGAACCGCCTTGCTCGTCCCCACTGTAGTTTATTAAATATTATGGGTCCATTGGGAGTAGCGGACAGGAAAGACTATGGTCATACATTTTCTCCTCTATCTTGCGGACAACGGGGACCAGTTGTTCGGCAGCCTACATGCAACATTTTTACCTGTCAGAGGAATTGAGGTAGCACTGGATTAATGAGGGAAGCAATTACATCCCAAATTTATCATGATCCATTACGGTATGGAGGAAGCAATAAAACTCTGTCTATATTGTTGCTCACTGACCAGACTCATATATGAACTACAGGTGAAAAAAATGGCAAAGTAAAACCCAGACAACGCACGGCAGTTTAGCCTCACGTTTTGTGTTTAGATGGCCCGACCAGTTTGTTCTCTGGACAATACTTGTTCATTTTTACAGCCGCATTTGGCTGAATGCCACCAGTTCCTTGTCCGACTTCGTGATTCTTACAGCGGATGCCCAGGGTACTAATGGTAAAATTTCCGAAGCAAACTTGTTTTATAAGATCTTCGGGACATAAAAGAATAGAAAGACGAAAAATCGGGATAGCAGCTGATTGAAAAAGTGAGCAATCCTCAATTCAATCAAGAAAGATTTTTATCCCTTCTCATAAGGGGTTCATCCAACGTTGTTGTTCCGTTCAGTAAGCCTTTGTACTTTCGTTAGTAACGTTTTGTCACCAGAAGATATCATTAGTTCGGATCATCGCGTAGTAGAAATATAAAACAGAGGAAAAACCTGTTAGACGAGGAGTTGGCGCGTCATAAAATAATGGCAAAAGTGTGTCTTTTTCCACTATCATGCTCGAGTAATTTTCTCCAATTTTGAATCGGATCTTGGCATCGGCTTGTTTCTCGTGTTTGCGAGAAGATAGGTAACAGCTCATGAGGACAGAAACCAAATATGGTCATATTCGTGTTGCCGGTTAGAGTACTCCATAATTTCTTAATAAGTACTCGAATAATTGATTTCTAAATTTCCTGGATGACTAGTAATTCTGTAGTAGAACCATTATAGGTGGATGTGACCTCAGAGCCTATTTCAGATGTGCTTATATGTGACAGTTCCCCTTAGTTCTTAACATGTGTTAACCTGCGACCAAGTAGTTTGTGGATAGTAGTAGCTCAGGCAGCCAGAAACGCTTTATTTCCAGATTGGCAAAAGGCTATTACTGACGCGATATTGGTTGCGCGGAACTAAAGTGTGGGTACTTTGATGTCGTAGCCATCAGTACAAAATTTTCTATTGTACACACGAAAAAAGATAACATCAGGTACAACTGACAAATTTTAGAAAAAACCTGTTTCCTAGATTATGTAGTGCTGAGGTACACGGAGAACTCCGGAAAATCTTTGCTATCTATGTCCACCCTCTAGTCCAGCTGAGCTAAAGAGAAAAAAATGTTTGATGATATAACTCACCATCGTTAACATGCCTTAATTAGTAGGCTGGCTATCTTGAATGCCTCTGGACTTCGCATGTTTTGATTATGCACACTGATTGCTTCCAACTGTGTACAAGGACTTTAAAGACATGGGACCAACTGATGTTTGATGAAAGTTGCTTGAGTTGCTCTTGCTTTTACTCCTGTGTTGTCTTCATAAGCAACGGCAACTCAGCTGGGCTTTAGAATGTAACCCTTTTCGTTACCTGCATGATGTAAGTAAATCAATCAGGAGAGAAGAAATTCACCTACAAAGTGGTTGATTAGATATCAGTCAATTTTTTTATTTAACAGTGCTGTCGGTGTGTCTTAACGTAATCTCAGCCAGCAGCAGCACTGTTCGGCATTTTACGATCACATTTCATGGCACTTTGGGGGGCTAATCACAGAGGTTATGTTCTCAGGTTTTTCAACGAATTAATCGGATGTGTGGTGGTTTACAACGCAATTGATTCTTGAGTTTGTCGGAAGATGGGAACATCATTATATTTATGATGCGTTAAACGTTTTAGTACAAAACAGTAACAAACTTTCGTCATAGCCCAGGTGTGAACCCCTTCTTCTGCTTTGACGCGAAATTCCGAGCGCGTCCAATGTGCCTTTTGACTAGTGGTAGCAAATCAGATATCCAGAATTTCATTTCCCGCACCCTCGGTTATACGCAGTATTGATGCGCACAAGAAGGAAGCCCCAATGCTGTGCTTCTTGGTATTTTTGTGGACCAAACCGAATGATGTTCCGGCTCAAGGATAGGAATGTTCCTGCGCGAATAATGTTCACTGTGTGGCAACAAACCCAAAGCCACCACGTGTATCCTCTTAGTCAGTCCCACAACCAGTGAGGTTTGCACGCCACAAACGCAGCCTTCAAACAGAAAAGCTCAAGATTTCTTGCTGCCGACTTTTGTATAACTGTTTTAGGCTAACATGGGAGAACCAGTCGACTCGTGATAAAACTCGGTTCTACACTGTACTAACTATAGAAAATACAGTTCAATCTACTGTCCTCAGACAAAACGTCCTGTAGCAACAAAGTTTCTTGAAAACGCCGACGAATAATAGCTATTTTTTGTTGGTTTTTGAACTCAGCTACCAAGTCGCTGGTATTTGTGTATTGTCTTTCACATTTTTAATCCAACAGAGCAACATGTTGAAATCTCTTTGGATTAGGAACACCATCATCTTTACCCAGGCCGATCCGCATCTGATGAGTATACCGACACATCGGAACCGTGGTATCCACTTGTACATTTTCAACTGAATTGAAAGTCCAAAATGAACTCAGAGCTGCAGTTATCCGTGCAAGAACGTAAAACGCAAAAAAACACTCAGAATAATGCGGTAGGAATGTAAAAAAATACGCCAGTAGAACAAAAAGATTTATAAATTAAGATATTTGTGGCCCAAGTAGCATATATGGTCGTTTGGTTTGTTCGGTGAACTGGACAATTTGATTTTAAACGTTTCTTCACTAATCAAGGTGAAATCATTGTTGCGTTGTTAGCGAGCATGGTGGGCCGTAGCGATGGGTTGGTGGTTGTCCTCGTTTAAGACTTGAATGATGTACAGATGTTAAATTCATTCATTATAATTTCTTGCTCCAAAACCGTTTATTCGCAGGTAATATATTCCAAAAAGTGATATCACACACGACGCTTCATTTTTCAGATTGCATTGATTTTTTTCTTATCATAGGAGGTAAATTTGGCACNAAAAAACACCCAAAAAAATGCGGTAGGAATGTAAAAAAAATACGCCAGTAGAACCAAAAGATTTATAAATTAAGATATTTGTTGGCCCAAGTGCATATATGATCGTTTGGTTTGTTCGCTGAACTGGACAATTTGATTTTAAACGTTTCATCACTAATCAAGGTGAAATCATTGTTGCGTTGTTAGCGAGCATGGTGGGCCGTAGCGATGGGTTGGTGGTTGTCCTCGTTTAAGACTTGAATGATGTACAGATGTTAAATTCATTCATTATTATTTCTTGCTCCAAAACCGTTTATTCGCAGGTAATATATTCCAAAAAGTGATATCACACACGACGCTTCATTTTTCAGATTGCATTGATTTTTTTCTTATCATAGGAGGTAAATTTGGCACCTAGTTTTGTAGCCGGACAATGAACATATCTGTTATCTTCACATACTGAACCAGCGTATTTCAGTTCTTTCCAAAACGGGAGAAGAGAATATTTATTTCCGGAGTCAAAAGTTGTTCCCACACGATTTCGGTGCATTGCACTGAGAAGCGTTGTCCCAAAGGGATTTTTTCCCTGAGAAAGTTGTCAGAGTGGAGTTTGCTCACCCAAACTGTTTTCTGTGATTTTTTCCAACTACGACTTTTGACTGTGTTTTAACACTCATCAAATAACTGTCTGAATGACGTATGAATGACTGTAAAATACAAAAGCTCGGACCTCCCCCCAAACAACTTGTACATTAGTCCGAGTTAAGAAGGGCAACCATCAAGGTGACAAAAATGTGGACAAAATTTATATAATTGGGGCCGCATGGTAGACAATTATTTTTTGAAATTAATATTTAATGCTTTTTTAAGATCGGACATAGATTTTTCAACTTTTTACCTCTTTCAAGGACTTTTCTGTACTATTCCAGTTTATTTGTACAGTACAGCTTGCTGGTATTGTCATGTGAGACATATCCATCTCAGAAAGATTACATTTAATCACCTCCTAAAAGATTATTGGATGGAAAATGTCATCAGTTAATGAGGGCCTGCACACACTCCCACTATACCTCCTCCTTTTCAGAACAGAAGTGAACAAAAAGTTCATCGTTTGCAAAACACTGCTTCATTATTACTACTTAGAAGAAGAATACCCACGGACGTATTCATTCAATTTTTAAACCTTAAAAGCTATTTCCTTTGGCTGTTTTTCTTGCCGGAAGACACATTCACTACTTCAAACTGGGTTTCTGCATTTTTCGCACTCAGATTCATTGACCGCTATCCCAAACAGTCTCGCCGAACCAAGACAAATAATTTATCGTACGCAGACCCCTGTCCGGACCAGGAACTATTCACCACAATGCGTGCCATCGTTCAGTAATGCTGGAACTGTTGGAAGAAGCGTGACATGTTTGCGTTCCACATCTGCGGCTGTTTCCCGTCCTGGTTCAGCACAACTTGTCTACGCCACTTTAAGAAGACCAAATATCAAACCGGTTACCTACGTGCCAGTTACTTTAAACAATCAAGGTGCTGCTGTTTCCCATCGCTTCACAACGCACACGCTTCCATTTCTCACGCCACCGGCAGCCAAACGGTGTATTCAGTCTTCTGAAGAGGACCAAATGGATAGGTCTGAGAGTCCCTCCAAGCGTTGTTTTGCGAAAAATGAGTACACGTCACTTGTGAGCAATGCTATGTGCTCGAACAGCCATTGCCATGAGAAATCCTCGCCTTCTGTTCCAGGTCATCCTTGCGCTAGCTTGCGTACCTTCATCCCTAACCAGTCTCAGTACCACGACTCTCGTAACAACATTGGTAGTGCGATTCCAGAATCTACCTCATCCGAGTTTTGTCCCAAAGAAATGGTTTATCCCTGCTGCTGCCCATCCTGTGAACCTCTGCTAGCAACATGGATTGCGCTAGCTGCGTACCTTCATCCCTAACCAGTCTCAGTACCACGACTCTCGTAACAACATTGGTAGTGCGATTCCAGAATCTACCTCATCCGAGTTTTGTCCCAAAGAAATGGTTTATCCCTGCTGCTGCCCATCCTGTGAACCTCTGCTAGCAACATGGACCAACTACGAAGGAATGTCTATTGGGCATTCGGGTTCGGACTCAACTAGAACCTGTCCACAATGCCATGCACTTGATGTACCCGTGAGTCACGGATCGTTATGCTGCAATGCCAACTGTGCCAAAACCCCGTTACCGATGCCTGACGGTAGGACAGACGATCAACCACATACAGAGACAGACTTTGATCGTCAGCTGAATGGACAATGTTCAACCACTTATATGTCCGTTCAAGATATTCTTAATTCATGTGTTTAGGTCTTATCACACCTGTGTGAGCAACACGTTCGTGTAAATGGAAGTTTTTTCTGAATATAGCATTGATCTACAAAACAGTCTCACTTACTGAAGCCGCATGGTCATGGTTCTGTCAATGCGTTTTGTACAAGCATCTTCGTTGACCTATTTGATTTTTCTGTTAGTTTTCAGGAGGGTTGTTAAGGCTATGAGTAGTCTGTGCGACACCCGAATGAACGGTGGAATTCACGGATTGGAAAATCAAATAACAGGTTTTAGTTGCACTTGGTAACGCAACAGCTGTTGTGAGATAGTTAATAACCCCTTGCTGTCCACCAGAATCATTTCGCCCATTGATACACACATGAACCCCCACGGCTACCGTGACATCGAACTAATGATCACGCGAGTTTGGATTCGTTTAGTTTCTCTAGAAGATGTAGCGAAACGTAATCCAATTTAGGGTGTAAAAAAACTGGGAGAATGCTTATTTTTCCTGCCAATCTTTCAGGAATGAGCGGTCTGAGTTTCCGAAAACGCTCAGTCATACAAGGACGCTTGCTCTTCTAAGAGCTTATTAGGTTGAGTCGACTCCGAAACCCCACATTTAATAGTCAGGAAGTTTTGCCTTAAAGGAACGACATTTGTACAGTTAATCAATTCGCTTTGAAATTTGTCGGTTTTCCTGCCTGGATTCCAGCCTTGTCCCCCAATTTCACCTAGCTGGAAGGCTGGAATTTACCAAGCCATGGATCAGTAAAGATATCAGCATGTTACTAGGGAACTTACTTACTTCTGAAAAGCACAGCAACATGAGGTCTTTCGATCTCTCAGGTGACTGGCAGATGACCAGTTAGTTTAAGCAATCCGGTGATAATGATGGCACCCTGGGAGTAAACAGCAAATATTCGCTTACACCCAGAACGATTGGGCAGAAAACGGTATATTACGAAAGCCAAATGACAAATCCGAATAACTAGGGTCAACGTATGCCATCTAAGGCACTATTGATATTAAAAAACCCCAAAATAATTGCGTGGAACTCACGGTGGGATGTGAGTGTTCGGTTTTTGGCTCGTTATAACATCGCATCGCGATAAGGAGTTTTGGGCTGTCTTTTTCTCCATTCTAATTCCATGGGCAAGCAACGCGAACATTCTTCATGTGATGCTTACTTGTTTTGTTTAGACTACGAGCTTTGATCAGATACTTTTTGAATGCTCGTAGTCCTTCAAAAGTCCGGGAAACTTTTCGAACGGAAGCCTTACCTAATGCACAAAGTTCACTACTGCCGAAGATGATCCTCAACAATCGAGTAAAATGTGCATTTCAAAACATCGCAATATAAATCAAACGTACACCACAGAATATCGCATTAGATATCTAACATATTTCGACCCAAAAAAGAAGCTGATATCCCACTGGCAACTAGTTCTGGATAATTATCACCAACAAAGAATTCCATCAGCTCACTTCACGTCAGACACTATTACCTATCGTAGTTAATTGATTTCGATGTAAAACAAGAATATAATTACCCCGAAATTAGCTCCAGCAATTCTTCAGCTCAGCAAGAATCCATAAGTGTTTACCTCAGATTAAAGCAAGAAAGTTATACTGCGTTGCGTAACAAAGCTAAGCAGACATCGCTCAATATTCTATCTTTTCAAAGCAACGTACTGCCCTACTGTTAGAGAAAAGCGCCTCTTATTGGAGGCTGGGTGGTTTATATGAGGAAAGAGGTTAGTAATCGAGAGCCATTACGCACGGAAAAGTCATCTATCGATTTCAACGCGCATGGTTACAAATAGTTGAAACAAATGCCCTCCATTAGACCAGGTATTGTTGAGAAGATATTTAGAAATTAAACAAAAACAGTGTCCCTTCCAGGTAATGTCATTTTGGCCTGGCTATGAAATACAGCTTCCTTTATACTACCCTTCATTTGGGCCGGTTCATTAATCTCTAGTGCGATTTTTCATCAATCAACTTACGCGCTGTTTACCGGTGTCGGAACCTGTCCACAATGCCATGCACTTGATGTACCCGTGAGTCACGGATCGTTATGCTGCAATGCCAACTGTGCCAAAACCCCGTTACCGATGCCTGACGGTAGGACAGACGATCAACCACATACAGAGACAGACTTTGATCGTCAGCTGAATGGACAATGTTCAACCACTTATATGTCCGTTCAAGATATTCTTAATTCATGTGTTTAGGTCTTATCACACCTGTGTGAGCAACACGTTCGTGTAAATGGAAGTTTTTTCTGAATATAGCATTGATCTACAAAACAGTCTCACTTACTGAAGCCGCATGGTCATGGTTCTGTCAATGCGTTTTGTACAAGCATCTTCGTTGACCTATTTGATTTTTCTGTTAGTTTTCAGGAGGGTTGTTAAGGCTATGAGTAGTCTGTGCGACACCCGAATGAATGGTGGAATTCACGGATTGGAAAATCAAATAACAGGTTTTAGTTGCACTTGGTAACGCAACAGCTGTTGTGAGATAGTTAATAACCCCTTGCTGTCCACCAGAATCATTTCGCCCATTGATACACACATGAACCCCCACGGCTACCGTGACATCGAACTAATGATCACGCGAGTTTGGATTCGTTTAGTTTCTCTAGAAGATGTAGCGAAACGTAATCCAATTTAGGGTGTAAAAAAACTGGGAGAATGCTTATTTTTCCTGCCAATCTTTCAGGAATGAGCGGTCTGAGTTTCCGAAAACGCTCAGTCATACAAGGACGCTTGCTCTTCTAAGAGCTTATTAGGTTGAGTCGACTCCGAAACCCCACATTTAATAGTCAGGAAGTTTTGCCTTAAAGGAACGACATTTGTACAGTTAATCAATTCGCTTTGAAATTTGTCGGTTTTCCTGCCTGGATTCCAGCCTTGTCCCCCAATTTCACCTAGCTGGAAGGCTGGAATTTACCAAGCCATGGATCAGTAAAGATATCAGCATGTTACTAGGGAACTTACTTACTTCTGAAAAGCACAGCAACATGAGGTCTTTCGATCTCTCAGGTGACTGGCAGATGACCAGTTAGTTTAAGCAATCCGGTGATAATGATGGCACCCTGGGAGTAAACAGCAAATATTCGCTTACACCCAGAACGATTGGGCAGAAAACGGTATATTACGAAGTCCAAATGACAAATCCGAATAACTAGGGTCAACGTATGCCATCTAAGGCACTATTGATATTAAAAAACCCCAAAATAATTGCGTGGAACTCACGGTGGGATGTGAGTGTTCGGTTTTTGGCTCGTTATAACATCGCGATAAAGACTGGGGTTTTCGGCTGTCTTTTTCTCCATTCTAATTCCATGGGCAAGCAACGCGAACATTCTTCATGTGATGCTTACTTGTTTAGGGGCCACTACGAGTTTTGATTAGATACTTTTTGAATGCTCGTAGTCCTTCAAAAGTCCGGGAAACTTTTCGAACGGAAGCCTTACCTAATGCACAAAGTTCACTACTGCCGAAGATGATCCTCAACAATCGAGTAAAATGTGCATTTCAAAACATCGCAATATAAATCAAACGTACACCACAGAATATCGCATTAGATATCTAACATATTTCGACCCAAAAAAGAAGCTGATATCCCACTGGCAACTATTTCTGGATAATTATCACCAACAAAGAATTCCATCAGCTCACTTCACGTCAGACACTATTACCTATCGTAGTTAATTGATTTCGATGTAAAACAAGAATATAATTACCCCGAAATTAGCTCCAGCAATTCTTCAGCTCAGCAAGAATCCATAAGTGTTTACCTCAGATTAAAGCAAGAAAGTTGTACTGCGTTGGGTAACAAAGCCAAGCAGACGTCGCTCAATATTCTATCTTTTCAAAGCAACGTACTGCCCTACCGTTAGAGAAAAGCGCCTCTTATTGGAGGTTGGGTGGTTTATATGAGGAAAGAGGTTAGTAATCGAGAGCCATTACGCACGGAAAAGTCATCTGTCGATTTCAACGCGCATGGTTACAAATAGTTGAAACGAATGCCCTCCATTAGATTAGGTATTGTTGAGAAGATATTTAGAACTTCTTCGCCAAATACGGTAAACAAAAACAGTGTCTCTTCCAGGTAATGTCATTTTGGCCTGGCTATGAAATACAGCTTCCTTTATACTACCCTTCATTTGGGCCGGTTCATTAATCTCTAGTGCGATTTTTCATCAATCAACTTACGCGCTGTTTACCGGTGTCGTCTGGTGCCAAGTTAAATCGAGATGGTGCATATTTATGACATCATTATTTATTTCCGTTACGCAGTACACCATATATCGGGGCATCTCGAGAGTATATAGTCTTACGAATAGGGTCACTGTTTTCTGGGGCGGGATTGCTCAATGGTAAGAGCGCGAATTCACTGACCGAAAGCTCCGTGGTTCGAATCCGACATCTGCCTCTCGACTTTCCCTGTCTAGGTTTGGGCGAACTGGTAATATCCTGTCCCCTGTGCTTCTTCATAGTGGCAGGTAGTTACCGAAAGGGTGTTGCAAGGGAGCGATTTTCCACGGTTACTGTTTCGTTTTTCGCGTTCGAAACTTATGGGTAGGGCTCAGATGAGAAGCGCAGATATATATTTCATTACCTACAATGCCAGATGGAACGAGGAAGGGATCATTTAGTTCCGTTTGCGTAAAATATTTTTTGGCCTTACAAAAACTTATAAATATTGACGTCACCAACCCTTCATCCATCGAAATTTTTTGTGTAGTAGCGTGGAGCACTGTGAAGCCACTGTTGAGTTGCCTTGGTGACATGTGGATGGGAAAAGATAAATTTAAGGATCATGTATCACTAGTAAAGTACTTGAATAACAAAAACTGTCCTGTCTTCTGTTGCCACAAGACCTGGTCATCCTCATGTAAGGGATAATTAGCATGTAGGAATTTTCCGTCGTTAGTGGACGACGTTTACATCGCCTTCGAAAACGTACGTTTTTAACTCCATTAAGAACGCTCGCTGTGTATTATGGGATCGGAAGTCGAGGTTAGACTGGAAGCACATAGAATTGACAGAGTATGCTGTGACCACAGCGGCTGGAAAAGGAACAAACTGACAACCGTGTTTCCGAAATCAGAACAACAATTAGCCAAACAGTCTGAGTCTTGTCGAACCGTGATGTCAGAGAAAGACGCATCACATTGAATGGTATCACTCCGAATGCACTTTTCAGTCATGAAGTATGTTACAAAAATCGCCTACGAATGGGTTTCAAGGAAAGAGACAACATTCAAAATCCCGTCGGCAATGTGGATTTACGGCGAACATCAGTCACGAGGAACAAGGCAAACGCATTTGAGGAAAGTATTCTAGTTCATATCATGTCGTGTGAAAGACACTTTTTACAGTACCACTGTCCAAGTAGGTTCGTCAGGCCAACTGTACTTCATTCATCATCATTTGTCTAATAGGTCCACAACGTTGAGGGGATTGAATTACACTACCAAGCAATAGAACTCTGCAGTGCGACCTTAAGAGGGAGCAAATACCACGTGAGAACAAAACGCACACCTTCGTATAACCACAAAAGGCAAAACGCGCTGTGCTAACAGGAGCTGACCTCAAATGTTATTCAGCACCCACAACTCTGTCAAAGTTTAATCAACGAATGTTCTGCCTTTAGACGGGTTCGGATTTGATCTTTGATGACACTGAGAAATTATAACTGGTCAGCAAATCAGTGAACAATTTTACAGGATATCCGCGACAGATAGAAACAGGGACTAACCTGACTAAACACAAGCCCGCTTATTTTTTGGCAGCAAACAGCCATAAAGGCGAACTTTTAAATGCGGTTCAGGTGAAACTTAGAGCACATATTTTTCTAAAACTAAAGCGGTAAGAGAATCGACCAAACCATGACACTACCTACCATTTTGGCGTTCTCGTACATTCAGCGTTGTATGCTGTGGGGCCAAACCTACTAACATATAAGCATAGGGCTCAAGTGAGTAACAAAACTGAAAACTAGTCATCTCCTCATTGTCATCATCGCCCACAGAAATTGCACCTTGTGTTCAACTTTCGTGCAACGGTGAGTGGTGAATTATTCCGAATAGCCTCATGTCCTTAGATAAAAATGGCCAAGAACGGGATACCAACGCCTTCCCATTCAGACAAACATATATGAGGATCGTTTTGGGTCACGACTCCATCTACGAGATGGCTCCAACATCATTTGTGAATTTTATCCATGTAAATCTGGCATACAACGGCAGACGTACCTTACCTAGGCAGTTCCGTTAAGAAGCGACGTCAAGCTCATCAATGGAATCGGTCGTAATCTTTATGACTTGACACCACGAGCTAAGAAAGTCATGAAGACCATATTCAGGAGTACCCGATGATATCCTGGCACTCAACTTTACAGCAGTCACTTTCATCACGCATTGCCAAATCATGGCCTGTTCTCCGATAATATTTCACCCAAATCAGTTTGGAGTGGCAAATACGGCTTTTCTTGGTAGGGGTCGTACGTGTTCCATCCTGATAAGCCATAGCTGATACTCTGGCGAATATGGCTCAGTAACCCATTATTCACTTACAGACCACTTCCAGTGCGTACATGATGCGACCAGTTAACGTTTGCTATACTCCGGAGAGAGCTATGAACAAACACCCGAGGACGTTTCAAGTCTTCATGTCAGACATATCGAGTTTCGCAGCCACGGGATAGAACTACCCTTATCTTAGCATTTTGAACGCCAAGATTAACACATCATCTGTCGCACTGCAATCACGGCCTTTTCAACTTCTAAGATCAGTAAACACATGGAAAATTCAAGTACTCTACGCTGAATCTTCAAATGGGTATGGGGTTCCTGAAGTCAAGACTTGCACTATAAAGGAGGAAAATGAGAACCAAAATAGGGACTTGTTCGATATTCGACTTGTGTTGTTTGTGCGAATGCATGATCATCAAATAACATAAGTGTTTTTACCATAACAGATGTCTAGTTATCTATCTCCATACCTGATTTGGTCACCCACACTTACGGCAGGAAGAATATCCATAAACTTTGAAGGCACCCCCTTTGCAACGAGTATACACTGAACAGCGAACACATCTACCGATTAGAAGGATCCCGTAGCCAGCGGTGTGCGGTAATCTGCTTGTGAATTTGACATACTCCGAAGATCTGTGAAATGTATTCATTGTATTACCGAAACCCAGCCTGATGCTCTCGGAT